TTGGTTTGTTCATACGTCCTAATATGCGCTTAATCTATGCTAAATTTCAGCCCGATTAGTTGAGGACCTTATGAAATATCGGTGATTGCTTCTGAAAAGTTTCTTGCAGATATTTCCGAAACTATCCATTTTAAAATGTTCATCTCAATGTGCTCTATATGGATCAGTCAGAATATTTATATATTTTCCCCCAAAGTTCTCGAGATATTTCAAGCTTCATGTTTTTCGAAAAAATGCGTTGTATGCCGTCTGATTGTTAAAAATCAATCTATCAAGTTGAAATTTTGGTCGAAAGATTGCTCGTATGACTGCAATATTTGGTATTGCAGATGGGCTGGATTGGATTCAGGAGATATTCACCTTTATATCTGAAAAGATTTTTTCAAATACCTCAAAAACGAATCAACTGATTTAATTTTTCCCTTTTTCAAAATATTTGTTACATTGTGTCCTATCTAGATCAACCAAAAAGTTATCGGTGTTCGAAGTTAAATATGAAGAAATTTCCATTTTACTGTTTTTCGGAAGAATTCGTAGTAACCGTTCTCTGATTCTGAAAATCAACCCATCAGCTTTAAATTTGACACAATGTCTTCTGTTATGACCACAATGTTTCCATTGCTGTTTCCCAATGGTATTCCATTCGGAAGCCAACCATCAATGAAATTGATGGCAAAAGAAAATTAAAAAATAACTGACATGTGAAGGAACAATCATGTCTTCTTCTGTTAGGAACGGCCAACTGTTTGTTTCCTACGGAAACAAACATTCCTTGTCTTTTGAGCAGAAACCAAAAATTGCCTTGCAGAAATCTTAAAATAAAAATAAGAAACTAGAAGAAATTCTTCCGACGATATTCCGAGAAAACATTGTTTTCTGAAGAAAAAAAAATCGATATTCTTCCAACGATCTTCCAAGAAAACATTGTCTTCTGAAGAAAAAAAATCGAAACTCTTCCGAAGATCTTGCGAGAAAACAAATGCCAATTTAGTTCGGTAGCGATGGGGGATTTCTCTTTTCGCTCTCTCGCTCACGCATGGTCCCAATACTCCGCCCGTCAATTCTCGCAATGGAGGGTTCTTTCAGATCGTGTGGTTATCGAGAACCTGTGGAAGTGAGAGAGAGAGAGTTAATAAACCCACCATTGCTCATCGCTTGGAAACGAGTGGATGGTCTTCAGCGTGATGACTTTCGTTGATGTTTTTATTTCTCCCTGACAGAGATGCAGGGATGAAATCGGTGTCAATGGATCGGGAATTTTCTTGCTCATCAAACCTTATTGATTTTATCTCTTCATTTTAATGAGGAGAAAAGGGGCTAATTTTAAATTAGTAGAGAGTTGGTCGGCGCTCTGGAACCACTCGTTTTTCGTCAGCGCGATGCTTTTCATTGATGTTTTCAATTTTTTATCATGGCGATGGATAGTAAGGCTTGAAATGTGTGTGGATGGATGGAGAATTCAATTTCCCACCGAAGACAGCTTGTTTCATCCCTTACTATTATTTAAGAGAAAAGAGACGAATTTTTAATTGCCAGACGGATTACTCGGAAACCACTAGGCGGACGGGAACGAGTCAGTTTCCCCTAGCGCGTTGGCTTTCGTCAATGTTTTTATTTTTCCCTTATTATTATTAAGGCATGAAATGAATGGACGGAGAATTTAATTGTTAGTCGAAGCCCATCGGTTTGTTTCCTTAATATTAATTAGGAGAGAAGATATGAATTTTTAATGCCACCTAAATTACTTGAAGATTACTGGGGGCTTGAGTGCTCATTCCCCCTTACTTTCCGCCCCTGAAGACGTCTCGCTTCAGCTCCCCTCTCTTCCCGATTCCCTCCATTATATTTCTACCTCTCCTATGGGGTTAGCCCCATTTTCGGTGGTATAGCCTGTGATTTAGTTCCGTAGCTGCCAATACGAAAATCGCTGTCGAATCTTTACCATAAGCGCTGCTGATCCTCGGTATAGTCTCTAATAACATGTTACGTACCAAGCGGATTGATTTGGGGTAAAGTAGGCGGCAGGTAAGTCGACCATGGGACAAACCTGGTATACAACTGCGGGAAGGTTTGAATTAAATCAATGACGTAGTTACTATTATGAACAGACTTCGTTAAATTTATTCAACTTTGAACTTGGAAAATTACTCCAAGAAAAATTTAGTTGCTGCTTGTTGCAATACAAAATTAACTCTAATGTCTACTTACAATTCTTAGAACATCCTTAGTCTAACTTATTCAACATACTATAAAGAAAAAACTACGGAGCCAATCAGGCATAGTATTTCGGCTAAGGGGCTGGATTTTCTATCCCCTTTGAAGGTTTTCAACACAATCCCTCTCTCTGCGCCTAGGTGCCCGGGAACAGCGGGTAGCACATCTGCGGAAAAACTGAGAGAGAGACCACTTTTTATGATTCCTCACAGGACTCTTTCCCAGCAAGACTTACGACTTGCGAATTTGAACGGTTTCCAATGACAATTAAGTTTCTACGAATGTGTATAAAAAAATGGGACAGTTGTTCCCCAAAGATGTTGCAGCGTCGGGCTAGAATTAGTCATGCTGTTCTGAAATTTCCTCTTAAATTATTACTATTTTCTTGTTTGTTTGAATTTACTCTCTCTTCCGCCCCTCTCATACATGTCTTGTCTTTTATTTATTTTTATCTTATTTCAGTAATTGTCTTGAATATCGTAATTTTATTGTGTATTATTTGAGTTCTATTCGAATTTAACCTTACGCGTTTAAATCTACAAAAAATGGAGGAATCTGGGAAATTCTAGTTGCAACTAGCGCCACACAATATAAGGCTTCGCTGCCAGACATTATAGGAAAGGTTTCTAACGCTTATGTCGGTGCTTCACCTAAAAACTTTCGTAGCGGACTAAAACAGAGGCCAAGCCTATGAATAAGATACGACAGGCGGATGAGAATATCGATAACATTCGGGGCTCGTATGGGCATCTACCATAGAGCACACGAACGAGACTGTCGAGAATTTCAGGAGGGTGTACTTGAAAGTAATAAAAGGAAGGTAACGGAAGAAGGGTTCCGTGAACTTCTTAAAATTACATCGCAACAACAGCCCTGGTCTTATGAGGGATCTGTCAGAGGCTGCGGCCTACGGACAGAACAGCTATTCTTCGCCCGAGATGAACGGGGATCTAGAACATGCAGTTCGGTTAGAATAGCACGCAGGACCGGGCGAACGGCAAACTTCTGTCACAGAGGATAAGGATCTAGGAATGATATCGTCTTTTGCTCGGCATATCTGCCACACGACTATCGCGTCACAACCTACGAAGAGTTGAAAGAACTGAGTAGGCACTGCAAGTCAAAAGGACTGCCACTTATCATAAGCTGCTATGCGAACTGTCCGAGAACTAGCGGAGAGGGACTGCCCGCAGGAAGAAGTTATCTCGCCCCTGCTGTGGCTCCTCGCCGTTAACCCCTTCTGTGGGGTTTGAGAGGCTGGAAGTGGAAGCCATTGGGTACGTAGGCAATGTGACGATGGTTGGCTAGCAAGAACGGAAGCATGCTGCATCGCAAGATGCGAGATACACCGCACTATGTTTAACAATGGGGCATCTCTCATGAGCTCAGATTTAATCTGGGCAAAACTGAAATTGTGTTATTTACAAACAGAAAGAGGATGGCTGTAAAACCCTCCTGTATATACTGCACGGTACTGACATTTTCGTCAAAGGATATTAATCTGGGCAAATGACTCAACTAGAAGCTCCACTGGATAATGCATATCAATAAGCAGAGCAACGAGACTATTATGATCTATTGATCAGGCAGGAGGAGGTTTGTAAACCTGTGGGTTCTATAGCTGGGGGTATTAAAATGGATCTACAAAGCCATTATTATCGCACATACGCCGCTGTTGTCTGGTAGATGGCCATTATCAAGGCTTGTCATACAAGAGCAGCCGACAGACTGGGCAGACTGAGACTGCTAGATACAACAGGGATTCTACGAACGAACCTATATTCACACTAAAGGCTCTGCTCCATGGTCAGTCACCTCATTTCAAAATCAAAGCGGTGTCGCTAATGTTAGCTTCGAGGCTGTGGTTTCAGGGGACATTAGGGAGTAATGCACAGTAAGAAGTAGAAGTGAGCGTGCGGCCATCCTTGCTGCGGACGTAAACCTGAGCTGAATACTATCTAGAGGGGAAGGGAGGGCACATTTAGACCACTAGGGCACTTCCAAGGGTTTAAGCTGTTCCACGGATCTCAAGGATGGGTGATCCGGCGAGATGGGAAGTGGCTGGGAATAGCTGCGAAACATTTTACATTATACATAACGCCGTATACGGGATCGCTTATCTACACGCCTATCCGCTTGTAAAAGTCTGAAAGTTTACGTTCCTTAATGACATGTTGAAAATTTTCGACGGACTCACATCGGGTGATGAGGGCTGACGGTTTATAGTTCCCACGGCCTGGGTCAAGAGCGTTCGGGGGACAAGAGTTTACTTTTGGATAATTTTAATCGTCATCTGATAAGGTGTTTCCAACTTATTTTAGGAAGTGAAAGTCAATATACAAGTAATCAAAGTATTCAGATAATTCAGAGTTCAAAATACGTAGCGTAACTGTACAGTTATATCTCACTGTGGGGTAAAGAGTTCCGTGACACGAAACTTGCTGCTCACTCGTAGATGCTGCCGGTTACATTGATGTCTTAGCGATTACAAATTTTATATCAACTTGATATCATGATGTCGACGTGACTTCGAATTAGCAGCGAACAGCGGTGGATGAAATGGAATAAAAAATTTCATCCAGATGACTCATTAATAATCGACAATTAGCTCACAGTTGATCTTTCGAAGGCAGCACATATCATCTCCGAGAATGAAGGAAAATAGTGTCGACGAGAAACGAATATCGATTATTCCGGTCGGGATAATTATTTGCTCAGATTCAAATGAGGTTTTCAAGAAAAGATGGTATACATTCAACTTCTGAAATATCTTGATTAGGGTTTTTTTCCTATCAAACTGATAGTAATTTTAGATTAATATATTCGGACAGTAGTTGATCTGAATTCAATTGATTATTAGTGTGGTAGTGATCTGCTTAGTAACTGTTACACAGACTTCAAGAAGTATATCACTGATTAATCATGCTTTCATACTAGTGAATCTGGACGATTTCAATTACTGATTTATAAAATTGTTTCCAATAGTCAATTCATCATTAATCAGTTCCGCAGTTTCCTTTATAGACACTCGTAGAGTCCCTCGATCCGTTTTCTTTTTGCTCGTGGGAGAGTCACATATTATGTGGGAAAGGTGCGATTTTGTGGAGTCGGAAAATTTCGATGTATTCGTTAATGTGCCAGAATCTGATCTTGAATCCGTCCTACTGCTTGCTTTACTGGACATATTGAAGGTTGATTTGCGTTTCTTTTTCCGTCGTTCTTGGTTGTAGGGGCAGAATGATTGAAATGGCTTCTTCACATGGAAATTCTGAAAGAAATATATTATGTTATTAGTAAATTTCAACATCTTTTGCTGAGAATTAACAATAGCATTTGGTATTAAAATTCCAACTTCGTTATTACAATTTGTTATTATTAATCGCTTGGTTTGCTCGGTAATCACAACCATATTGCTTTATGCCAGATTAAAGATGTGGAACTTCCACGGCAAAGGATTAATTCCATTCAATTGATCGCTGATATTTTCGATTTTTCACATTGATTTTTTGGAATATCGCCTCCTGAAAATCCAACTAAATTAATGCGGCTTCTTATGAACTAAGAAACACCAAAACGAGAGTATAGAGGTGGGGCGCCCGATCTTACATCAGGGTCATAGACTGAAAAAACAAATTCTAAATCCTGAACAAATTGTAATAGCAAGAGAAGAAAGGACATGGCGAGAGAAGTTGCACCTCATCCCTAGGACAACACAATTTCCAGAAATGCCTAAATGCATAAAACTGGAAATCCACACTCTGAAACGTAAAAATTATTCACGGAGAGCTGATGACCCTTGGAATCGCAGCAGAGAGGCTTGTATTTTTCAGGATGCTAGGTCGTGGAAAAAGGGCCATATTGGTTCACGGAAACGGGAATCTAACAGAGAGATTAACCGATACAAATGAAGGGTGACTGAGCAGTCCGTCGGAGAATGTGGGGAGCCAATGACACCCCTGTGGATTTCATTTCTGAGTGCATTTGTAACCGCAGCCGGTGCCTAGGGAAAAGCCCGGAGATTATGTAGCTCACCTGACAGCGTTTATACCAAGACCGCGGCGGACCACTGAAGGTAGCCCCAAATAAAAAAGCATATCGAAAATGCATACCTCAAACGTAAAGAGCAGGTCCAGCCAAGGCAAGCTTTCGCTAGCCTCCTGGAGGGTAGTAAGAGAGTAAGCGAACTACGAGGCTCACCGAAAACCAGCCGAAGCTCTGCCTAAATGAGTGAGACGTACAGGCCCCTAAGGTGCTCCTCCCCACTCTGGACTTACGGCTAGGTGGGGTTACGTGCGCCGTGACGTGCTGCTCTTGTCGTTGCATAGATATCTCTACCAGTAGCTCCTCCTGGAGCACGCCGAACCCAAACGTCGCCAAACGACCCTTCCGAATAGTCCGTCCGAAGAAGAAGCTACTGAATCCTGCCTCGTGTACCATAGAGGGCTCATACGCCGGTATGCAGGAAGTCTCATAGAGTAACTGGGAATATTTCCACGTATCCGCCCTACACTGTTGCCTGTCAGCAGCCCTCCTGACTGCCTAAGCCCTCAGGCTCCAGCCCTCACATGTTTAAATAGATCGAGCTATCCTTGGGGAAAGTCAATTGAACGGCAGTGTCAAAAGAATAAATCACCAATCTCATTAATTAGTGAGGTCAATGTGCAAGATTTCTAGAAAGTCCGTTCCATCTTGTAGAAAAGATCGCATCCTAATTGGTCGGAGCATTTTAAGGACCGTCAGAAGCAATCAAGGGACTTCACTAATGTCATCATCTCGTTAAAATGTAGGGAATCTAAAGTATGGACTGAACGGTGGAAATTCACAAATTATGACCGTGTACTTATGGCGATGAGATTGTATGGAATTTTACATGCCGAACGGTTGATGGATTGCTGGCCATACTCTGAATTTAGCAGAAAACGGAGTGGAAATTGGTTCAGATGGACCTCAAGTCCGATCAGAACATTCAGTTTGCACCAGACCCCCTGATCATATAAGATGTGATCAAAATCTGAGGAAGTTTTAATCCAAGTGTTCAGATTCCAAAAACTACAAGGGAGTTTAGATGGAATTCTGATCAGGCAGATCCAGAGGGGTGAAACTCAATCATATTCTGTATAGAGCGCTGTCGCCACACACTCGTTCTCCAACGGTACTACTCCATGGGGTATCGCTAGTATCGTCTGGCCCGTTTAAATTGTTTACTCTAACCCTAAAGTCTCGACGGCGAAATTGGAGTTACCGGACTAACTCTATTCCGTAAATATTAGTGAGTGATATGGGAACAAAATGCCGAGGTGTCAAATAATTGGCTGCACAACAGGATATGATACGAATCGTAACAAAGGACCCTTTTTGACAGCTCCAAGAGACATACGGGAGCTGAGTGAATGGAAAGCAGCGACAAGATTGCTCTCACTAAAGTTTCGTGATCCAATCTGTAAAAATCATTTTTTAACGGATGAAGTGCTGACACATAAAGTGATAAATAGCACAGATGACACGGTATTAATAGTTCCATATAAAAGTGAAAAGTTTGTGCATTTCAACTTGGTATCCAAAGCGGGAAATATAGAAATGAAAAGTTTGAAAATGTATGTCCAGTCAGGACTATTGATAACATGATGATATTTAATGATTGTTTTCTAAACAATATTTCCTCCTAAAGAAATCGATGAAAGATATAAATTGTTTTTATGAAGTCGATTAAAAACAACCAATAATCAATCAAAGGAATAACAACAAGTAATGCAATAGTTGAAAAAATATTTTCTTTGGAGACATTGAAATTCTTCATATTTTACTGTTCCCAACACCAAGGTTCTGCCATGATGGGCTGAATGAGCTAAACATTCGGGATGAGCTCAGTTGTACGCTGAGCGATTTACCAGGTCTGAACAGGTTGGCGAAGAAAGCCCCGAGCTGGACACTTGAGATGAAGCCTGTCATTGTCTGTAGAATTGACCTCCCTTTGGAGGTTCAACTGGACAACAGCCAGGAGACCACTTAGAGAAAAAAAGCGCCAATGCTGGGTCGGATTCAGCTCAATAATTGCAGACGACTTGACGTAACGAGAGGAGTCGACCTGTCCACTCAGATTAGGAGCAATCGTGACGTCAGAGGATGGTCCTGCAGATTTGCTTCCTTGTAAACGGATCTTGAAGAGTCAACTGAATGATGAGGAGGGTGCCACTAGTCATGATTTCAAGTCGAAGATTCAAATTAGAGTGACTTGATTTGGCGAAAAACCACCCTTTATATACTGTTCTGGCGTGACTCACCTATGACCGTTAGCGTTTTCGTCATCCAATGTTGCTTCGAGGTGTGGTGGGAGGCATCTTCATATGTTCAACAGTGTGCTTAGAAGGGATGTTTCTGGTACCCTTACCCGGGTGTTACTCCCCATTTCCTCAGGTCCAGGAGACATTTTTGAGAAAAAGACGGAACGATCGCCTCGTTCGATTTTATCAAATTAATGTTTTTCTATTGTCAAAAGTGGTATATTTATGCATTTTTCTGACGTTCATGGCCCATAAATTTTGGAGGTTCTTTGGCGATGGATAACCATCGTTCATTATAAAACTCGCGTGTCAAATGGAGTGGACCCTTTGAAGCTGGAAATGTCTCCTGTTTGGACAACAAGAAATTATCTGGTGAATTGTGCTAATTCCTGGAAACCATCAGTGCAGAATGCAGGTGCAGGTACAGGTGGCGTAATGATCCGATCCAACCCCCTGTAACCAATAGGGGGAGGCACTGGGGGAAGATGTGACTTCTATTGACCTCTGACCTCTATTGGCCTGGCTTTTCTTTTGCCGATATCGGGGAAGCCGTGGCAGAGGTACTCCATTTCTAGGTTATCGACATATTCATTCTTTGGGGCTGCTCTCATCGGCAGTTACCATTTGAAGGTTGCTTAAGTTACTGGCCCCCATATTCAATAGGGAAGAGAAAAGAAGTGAAATGGATTTCTTTAGAAATATCTTTGAGCACTTGTGTGGCTTCTTTTAGATGATTCGTGGTTTCAGTTTTTGTCCCTTCTATACTCATCTCGCAACATCTCTTAGGCCATAGTAATGGCCACTTGAGTACCCGCCACTTAGTTCCTTTTATTGTGGTTACTTCGCATAATCGACATTTAGGCCGGGCATACCGACATTCCACACTATCATGTGGGAATTTTCCCAAACTTTCTCTTTTTTTTATTGTCATACCATGTTTTTCCCTGATGTATAAAAATTTAATGGTGGTAAACGGAGGTATTCGTGCATACACGAACATTCAGATGCGCCATGCCATCCGAAGGTTCTACATAAAATTTTGCCGAATAGTTGTGTCGATTAGGTTGTGAGTGTTAGTGAGAGAAATGATTTTCTGTTTTTTCTTTTTCTGCCAGAGGAAGAGTGCGATCAAGTTAAAGAGATTCTGAGAGACCAAATCTGGCACGTGAGTTGGGACGTTTACCTCGGCGGTATTAGTCATGATATTGTTTTGTGGTTCCAAGACACATGCTCCATTTACTCGGACTTTTCCGCTGCCTATTAGAGAGATATCCGCCGCGGAAAAAATCGACACCTAAGCTCGCCATGACAGCTGTATAAGAGCAACATAGAGAAATAGAGAGATAAGGAAATAAATAAAGAATGGCCACCACGCTACCGAAATCTCCAAAAATATCCTCAAGTTCCTCAACATCTCACAGACACAGACGATTGCGATGGATTGCGTTCCTCAAATCTTAATTGGTGTCCTTTATCAGCGAAGCTGTTACAGGTCCGCCTCAATTAACCACCAAGCGGGAAGTGTTTTTCGCAACGCACGTGAAAATAGGTAACAGGTAGGTAACGCGGTACATTAGAGGGGGG